TCAGTTACCCAGTTCAGAACAGGTTGAAAAAAGAAATCACAAAAAATAAAAGCTAAAGAATGTCATGATTTTAGAAAGGGAAAGTAATATTAGCACCAAAAAAAAAAAAAAAAAAAAAAAACCAAATAAATTACACTATCTTGTGTTGTTTATATTTCACACAGTGCTTAGTTCAATTTATTCTTCCTTTTATCCTGTGTAATCTTTCCTGTATCCTGAAGTCCTGTATGGGGTCTAGTCAAACGGCTCTGACTTCATCAGTTTTGACATCAGTTTTTTTTAGTGGACCCACCACTCTAAAATATGATCATCTCATATTTAAAATATTTCCTTTTGTATTTTTGAAGAATCTGTAACTGCTGTCTTTCTTTTCTTCCTGTTTTCCCTCGTCCTATTTCTCCTTTGTATCTCCTTGTTCCTTTTCTAATAACTGTACGACAGAGATAAGAAATTTAGAGCAAGTTCTTCTTCTCTTCCTCCTGCCAAATACTGTCTGTGCATGATGTTGAGATGTTCTAACTATGAAAAGATGAATGTTACAAATATTCTACAGTGGTTACACACAGAGTCGCCAATGTTTTGTTACAATGATAGTGGCTATTATTTAAAACTGAGTCTGATGACAAGAGTAGAAGTAGTGGTAGTAGAAATAGTAGTAGTGGTAGAAATAGTTGTAGTAGTGGTAGCAGTATTAGTAAAAAAAAGAGTAGAAAGAGTTGTACATTGATTACTCACTTCTGGAATGACACAGCGTGGGTCCAACTCTGAAACAGTTGGCCAAACAATTTGCCTTTGTATTTCTTGTACACGCTCAAAATTCTTGATCCATCTCATCTTTTCTTCCAGTTGTTCTGTGCAAACATGATATCAGAAATGTAATTGATCGCAAAATATTTGTCTTCTTTATTTGAAGTAGCTAAGGAGTTTTCATATTATATGAGTAATGTAATTACAACTGAGACCACATTCACTTTCAGTACTTACTAAACTGAATTTAGACTATCTGCAGTGGACATGGAAATTAAATCAATATACAGGAAACAAAAAGTGGGAACAGTCAGTTACACATATCTGTCACAAATAACAGTGGATATTCAATTGGCAAAAACTTCATCAGCAAATAAAAACAAGTAAAGACAAATATATACTATTATAATTACATTAATATTTATTGATGTTTAAACATGTTCTCTTTTCATTAGAAGAGAAGTACTCATATTTTCATTTGTTCTAAAGAGCAGTATTGTGTATTATTGTATCCATATTTAGGTTTTCAATTTCACAGCTTCTAGTATCCTTCTTTATCATCTAATCACCCTCCCAGAATCGGACTCAATTTTTCCTTATTTCAAAGCCAACTCTGGCTGTTGTCGAGGGCCCTAATATAATCCAATCTTTGGGTTGAAAGGGGGATTCTGGGACCTGCTCCCAGGTAATCCTCTTCTGAATGGTGTCACTGGGTGTTTATAGCTCGGTGTGATGTCCTGGTGGGGGTGAACATCAATGAATCAGCTTCTAGTAACCACACCTCTTTGAGAGATTCTTAAGTATCCATTTTTTTTTGTATGTTAATAAGATCCTGCATTGATTTTTCTTAAGCAATCTGAAAGAAAGTCAAAGTCCTTGTGTATCCCTATACCACACAGATGAGTCAGTAGGCTCTCTGCCAGAAATCTTCACATGACTTCTGCTAAATGTCCTTGCACTATGGATAATTTGCCATCATTGTTTTGACTGATCAATTGGTAAAGCATCTTGAGTATCATGTTACTGCAAACTGGTTACTGCTCATAAGCTAACAAGGGGGTGAATAATGTTCATCAAATTATTGTTCTACTAAATGAAAAATCGTTACGAAAGTGAAATTTAGGCTTATCCTACTTAAAGATAAACTGTTTCTACTCAAGGGTAGTGAAAGCTCATCCTTCTTAATGACACTACACAGCACTAAATAATTTACACAGAAAGATTATCTAACTAAATGATAAACTGTTGCCAAAATCTACAAAAACATGTTCTATTAAATGATGAATCATTACTGATTGTCCTAATAAATGATAAATAGTTGTTGTGAAAGGAAATCTTGTTGCCTAAACAAACTGCTCAGATTGCAGGAAATATTCTGATCTATACTGGGTGTATTTAATATTACATGCTTAAATTTTATTATGTACCAAAACTCTCACAGATTTCACATCCATCATATGAAATCAACTTCCAAGAATAGATTGATTAAGAGAAGAATGCAAGAAAATATGAGACACATTTCTGAAAACTTCTGACATCATTTATCTTTGAAAAACATTTCCAAGAATTTAGATGTGAAAGTACGGTTTTCAGAAAACATTGAATACAGCAAATTTAGCAATCTAAAAAAAAAAAAATACACTTAAAAAAAAAAAGCAGTATTCTCTAATAAAATAAATATCTAGAGAAGAACTATGTCTACATCAAATTACTGAGTGAAGTTTCAACCACTTGCTGAGTGATGTTTCTGCTTACTGAGTGATGTTTATATTTACTGTAATGTTTCTACTATCTGAGTGATGATTTTTACTTACTGAGCAATATTTCTGCTCATTGAGTGATGTTTCCATTTACTGTAATGTTTCTACTATCTGACTGTTGTTCCCATCCATTGAGTGATCTTTTGATTTACTGTAATGTTTCTACTATCTGACTAATGTTCCCATCCATTGAGTGGTGTTTCTACTTACTGTAATGTTTCTAATATTTGAGTGATGTTCCCATCCATTGAGTCGTGTTTCTACTTACTGTAATGTTTCTAATATTTGAGTAATGTTCCCATCCATTGAGTGGTGTTTCTACTTACTGTAATGTTTCTAATATTTGAGTGATGTTCCCATCCATTGAGTGGTGTTTCTACTTACTGAGTGATGTTTCTACTTTCTCTATGCTCTTTGTCACCTGCTGCCTCTCATCTTCATTGGCTGTGTACTTCCTGACATTATGAAGCAGTAAAGGTAGCTTGGTACAGTGCTGCATTGGAGCAACAAGAAGATCTGTCAGCTGCAACCGGTTACACCGAGGATCTTGTTCACACCACTGCAAGGATAATGAGGAGAAACACAAATGGTTTATTAAAAATGCTGTTAATGAGATTGAAAATAACTTCTATGTCAAGAAAGTTACCTTCTCAAACTCTCAAACACATTTAGCTTTCACTGTAATAGAAGTTGCCAAGAGCTAAAATAATTCTGAAACTGCAACATTATGTGTTACTATTTCATGACATGTGTAGCTCAGACAGGTGTGTTGCACATTGACAGAGAAGGGCAGTCACAGCATGTCTGCAAGCAGAACAATTCAGGTGACCAGCAGTTGCTTCTCCATAACTACTGGCAGCACAATGATGAAGATGATGGTGGTGACACAAGCTTACATGTGACTGGAATCACAGGGCTATTCCCATGTATGTTACTTGTTTTTTGACAGCACAGCAATTGGTCCGACCCATTCATGCCTTGTTCTCTGATGCAGTAGCTATCTCAATGTCTGCATGCACACTGTACCCAGAAGGAATTGACTGGTACATCTTCTTTCTTTGCCCCACAACTAGTTCTTGCATGCTTGTTCTCATTCAATAACCATTTCCAACAGGTGGCTCATCATCACTGACTCCTTGTCTCAGCATCTCTGACTCCTTGTCTCAGCATCTCCGAGTCCTTGTCTCAGCATCTCTGAGTCCTTGTCTCAGCATCTCTGAGTCCTTGTCTCAGCATCTCTGAGTCCTTGTCTCAGCATCTCTGACTCCTTGTCTTAGCATCTCTGAAACACAGCACATTAAGCATATCTGCCCTGTTAATACTTCTTCCTCCACCAACTGTTGCAGACATGGCCAGTCTGTCATCTCTTTTATTTGTTTTTAACCCCTCCCACCCCTATGTCTTAGTGTGCTGCAAGGATTTCTTCTTGGTGCTGTCAACCCACTGTAGTCAGGGTCAGCTGCTTTCTGTCCCATCCGCCATGCAAGTGTCCCTATGATGGCTGCTATCTCCATCGTCATACTAGAAGTAGTTGAACTGAATGCCTTTCTTCCATTCGCCTGCACTGGGTATGTCTACCCAGACTGCATCCCACAAATGACTGAGCTACCTGTAAGACAATGACATAACATCGAGTTTCAGGACCCTTATTTTAGCATCAACAGCGGTTTGGCTCCATTCTCTGCAATACCTTCTGAATGTGGTTATTACCTCAGTGTGCTCCTGCATTTTTTCTGGTATTTGTATCCATTCAGCACTGATCCTGATATGTTCCAATGGGCAAATTTGGCTAATGGTTTCATCTACTTCAGTATAAATTCAAGACATGAAAATGAAAATGATAAAAATTATATAAAAGCTAAATAAAAAAAAAAAATTAAATAACATTGTAACTAAATTGAATGATGAGCTGCTGTAAACATTTTTGGGAGAAACAGCCAATATTGACAGAGATCACTACAGCCCTCTTAACATTTGAACTTGGATAGTTTACTCTGATTTCTTTTTAGTTGTCACCCATATGTAGGCAAACTTGTAAACACTCATTTTTAAAGCATGCTGTTTTCAACACATACTAGTGTTACCTTTCCTTTGGAGTTAACAAAACAGGCAGAGAGAAAAGCGATCACACTTCATGGGCAACACAGGGTTTGTACAATACTGCTCAAGCTTTTTACTATGGAGAGAAGGAATGTCATCTCTGGCCTCAGTTGGAATCATCATGAGTTGTGATTCCTATACCTCCCTATAACATAATGGAACATTATCATCTGCAAAGACAGAAAAAGACCAACAACAACAACAGTATGTGAGTGAGCACATGCACAAGAAAGCAAAGGATATGAGAGATTTTATATTTAAATGACTGAATGAAACAAAATAGAAGACAAGAGGAGATAAGAATGTTAAAGACAAAAAATGATAGAAAATAGGAAATATATCAGACTAACAGGGCTAACACTTTTCTAAAATGCATAATTCATAAATTTTTACCTTTTCAAATTCTGCAAATTCAGTGTTGGCCCTCAGTTTTTCCAGGTGTGCTAAAGCATTGGTGTAATTAAGGCAGTAGGAATGGTACACTGCTCCATCTCTGGAATGTGCAGAAAACTGGAAAAAATAAGCCAACTGATCAGAAGTATGTCTCAATTTGACATGTATTATGTTACTTTTTACAAATACTTTATGGTGTTGTGTTGATTACTTCAGCCTCAGAGTGCCAAGTTTTCTATAAACATAAGGGCCTATCACCACTTGCCATGTGCCAATGGCATGAAAAGGGCACACTCAGAGAATGAAGGATCAGATGGCTAGGGCACACTCAGAGAATGCAGGATGGTAGAATCCCTAAGGACATCCTTTATAATGGTTTACAGATGGCCAGATCTTGTGCTGATATATACTACAATATAAAGATGTGTACAAGAGGGGATTTGATGATACATGTATTGTGGATTCATGGACACATAAGATTGTGGATCATAAAGCATGGATAGAAAAAAAAAAGCATGAAGGTAAATGGGAACAAGGATGAAGATTTTTGCAGTTAGATGAACAGCATAGCATTTATGGTGGAAAAAAAAAAGTGCCGATGGTTTATAAAAATATAGTTCTAGCCCTATATGCCCAATTTACCTAAAGGCGTGGAAAAGGATCCTTTACTTGGTCCTTTACTTTTCTTCTTACTGTAAAGTGGTCTTGCTTGTTACATTTCCCCGGATCTTGCTTGTTACACTTCCCAGGGTCTTACTTGTTACACTTTCCAGGGTCTTGCTTGTTACAATGCCCAGGATCTTGCTTGTTACACTTCTCAGGGTCTTGCTTGTTACACTTTTCAGGGTCTTGCTTGTTACACTGCCCAGGATCTTGCTTGTTACACTTCCCATGATCTTGCTTGTTACACTTCCCAGGGTCTTACTTGTTACACTTTCCAGGGTCTTGATTGTTTTACTGCCCAGGATCTTGCTTGTTACACTTCCCAGGGTCTTGCTTGTGACACTTCCAAGGGTCTTCTTGCTAGTTACACTTTCCAGGATATCACTAGTAACACTTCCCAGGATCTCACTAGTTACACTTCCCGACCAACATGCTCAGGGCAAGAAAAAGTCACGTGATGGTTGAAAGCCTCAGCCAAAGAACTCAGAGACATAGTAACTCAGCAAAACATAGACACGAAAAATGAGGTACGTGTCCAAAAAGCAACCCGGCAGTTTCAGCAAGGCCAGTGGCTTGGTCTCTAGAGCACCTTTCCACAAAAACTCACATCGGGTGAGATCTGGCGAATGGCCCCGCTGAGACAGAGCTTTGTTATAATATCTGCATACGACATCTTATCCTCTGGCACTAACCTGGCCAAGTGGCGTGTGACCAGTGACCCGACATGTCTGCTCTATGCAGACACTCGAGTACGTATTGTCTGCATGCAGAAAAGGGTCGATATACATGGTGCCACAATAAATTCTTGAAAGAGCTGGCAGACATTGTGGACAAAGCCAGGATGAGGGCCAACATGAGGGCCAGTCCTAACGTTCCTTCCATGCGCTACCTCAAGACTGGGCAGACTTCTAAAGGTAAAATCAACAAAGTCACAAATGCTCCATTTATACTCGACTGTGCGAAGGACTGGTTAGTGGCTGTCGACCTCTTTGATTTTGAAAAGTATCCAGAGACAATCCGAAAGACTGACCTGAGACCAGACATGGTTCTGTACTATGTGACAGAAAGCCAGCTTATCCTGATAGATCTGGCTGTGATGTACGAGTCGAGGATGGATGAAAATCACATGTACAATCTCAAAAAGTACAGTGATTTGGTGGCCAGACTGTCGAGTGATGAAGGGTACACAGTAAAACTCTTTGCCATCGAGGTAGGTGCAAGAAGGCCTATCTCCACCTCCGCATTGTTACACTTCCCAGGATCTTGCTAGTTAACACTCATCAGTGTAGTGACTATGATGCCCATGCATTTCTATAGACACAATGTAATAGTGCCATCTGGAAAGACTGGAATGGCAGTAAAACTTAGCATCAACAACAACTCAAAACAAATACTCTTGTTCGACTGCTTTCTGCTTTTCTTTCCTGTATGGCTTTTATAAAAGGTGTCATGTCTTGTATTTGAAACAACCTCCAGATCAGTGGATGTTGTAGTGAAACTCAGCATTTGTGTCACTCAGCACTGAATTCACAGCACTTGGTACCTGCCCATGCTAATAGTACCGCTTGCAATCTGCGTGCTCATCTAGTCTAACACCTAACAAAATCCTTACTGACGAGTGCAACACTGGATACTAGTCATAACGTCATTGATTAAATCTCCACATGACAGAGGCAATCATTTGTAGTCAGTATCGTGTCTTTGTTTCATCCTCTCCCTACACCCTCCCTTTTTTTTCTAACCTTTAGGGATGTCCTGAATGGCAGCCAGCCTGTCTCTTCAAATCCATGCACAGAAATAAATGAAATCAATAACAAGAGTATTATTCTCTGATAATGACAGATTTCCCCCATTTCGATACCTATCCTATGACAAATCTGCTGTGAAATTTCCTCACAAATTTGAAATAAAACACTCTCTACTGGGTTACAAAGTTGGTCATGTCGGAGTCATTACCGACAACCCCTGATTTCCACACTATTGATTAAATTAACGCGCACGTGTTTGTGTCCCTTTATAACCAATCCCGGCAGGAAATCAACCTATTTGTACAAATAACAACCTACCCGCTGAAATGCCTTCAGTAAAACATTGGTTCGGCCAAAGTCTGTTATGCTCATATCTTTCAACAAAGCAGAAATAAAGTCTTTACAGAATGTATAGCTGACCTGCATTAAAAAAAAAAACAACATAAAATGCATTTAATAACGTCACAGTGAATAAAAGTATGTCAAATGTTCTCTACAGTATGTAAGCACAGACAATGTTTCACGCATTATGTATACACTGTTTAAACTATATTTTGTATAGACCAGTCGACACTGGATGGTTAATGTGATCAACATCCGAAGGTTGTCTTGAATTTCCAGAATTCTACCTGTATCAACGTTAGGCTAGATCGACCTAGGAGACCATGCCATTGAAAACGTCCACGCTATGCGGCTTTGAACCAAACACCTTGAGATTGGCAGGTAAATGTCTAGCCTTTCAGCGTGTGCAATACACTTGTTAATTCTCGTTAGCTGGAACCGACATATAAGCTAATTGCAATGGTGTGTGTGTGTTTGTGTGTGTATAGAAATAGAGATATCTGCATGTTTTTCTTTTTCAGAGTAACACACCTACTAACTTTAGCAGGACCCTCTTTTCGATTACCATATGCACAAACCGCCCAGGACAGAGATGTGGAATGGGAACTTAAAGGGAAGATTTGCCTACACATTTAGTCTCTACCTCAAACAACAAGTGAACTAAAAATATCTAACATTAAGAAATTACCGAGACTGCAGCGTGGAATGGCTGACTTCACTATAGCAGAAGACCCCTGTTTTGTACGTCAGGTACATAATGATATTGAACATTATTTACTCTACTGCAAGAAATATGAACTCTAAAGGATTTCCCATAATGAAGATACAATCCTCTGAAATAGGCGTATGACAGTTGAAAGCATGCTGGGAGAAGATGGTTCTAGAGAATCACAGGGAAGGATTTAAACAGCACAAAACAAGAACAGGGATACGAGATGTTAATTAACCTTAAGACAGAATAATGATATCCCAGATCACATTCAATATCCACAAAGATAGACTATGCAGTAAAATATAACTGTTTGAAAGTACATTTAAAATATATTGAATGTTACAGGTTATATTTCTTTAATCTTTTACAATTAATACGCAGGCTATGTAATGTTGCGTAAACAAACATAATTAGTAGACATTCATTATTAAAATAGATAAAATCCTCGATATATCTCAATTATAACCCAGATGGGTTAAACAGGATATCGTTTTTTGAATTACTACTAGTGCTACAAACCAACCCAATCCCCCTCCGCCCTCATCTCCACACACACACATTCACAATTATACAGGTGTGTTTCCAGGACCAACACTAATAGGTAGAAAGGGTCTGGTCCAGACTGCAGGTCTTTCTTACTGGCAAGTATAGATTCAGCAAAAATCATAGGCAGATTTTTAAAAAAAGTACAGGAGAACAAGAAGCTTACAGCGGAAACTAAATCCTTTATTTCTCAAACTCTTCTTTCTGTACTTCCATGTACCAGGAGAAACCTCTAAATAGCTTTCACACACCATGACCACAAAGAGCGTTTGGTATTTGGGGACAAGACACGATTATAAAGATTTAGCTTTAAAAAAAACAGCACATGTTAACGACAGGTTTATCAATGCCCAGTCTTCAAGGTCTAATATGAGAGTAAGAAAATCAGGAAGTGAATAAGGACAGAAAATCAGGAAGATAAAAAGGACGGAAAATTAGGAAGATAAAAAGGAGGGAAAAATCAGGAAGAGAATAGGGACAAAGGATGCAAGATAACACCAGAGCTGAATGTGAAGAAAAACGCGACTGCAACGGTGGTCCTGAAATCCCATGCAATTATTATAAAAGACTTCCTAACCCGAGTTTGTCTTGCCTGTCACATTGACAATGACATTAGGCTGTGATTCCTATGTTTTCAAAGTGAGATGTTCTACATTTAAGTACTACCAGACTGGATCTTTATTATAGTACATACTTGTGAGAACTGTGGACAAAGAGTGCTTATACAAGTATTCCCATGCAATGGTCCATAAAGATATTCCCTTAAAAAGAAACGAAAAAAAAAAAAAAACCCCCAATTGTCCTATACCTCAACATCGACACATAACTCAATTATGGTAGTAATGGACATTGAACAAAGAATGTTGTTCCCAATGTTCCAGCATTTGATCCTGTTGGTGATATATTACGAACTTGTCATGCTTACCATATCAGTTGATGAAGCTTGAACGCATACAGAATGAAGCCGTGGGGGCAATTCTGGGATGTACAAGAGATGTCCCGATAGTATGTATGGGATATATACTTTACTGACTACTGTTGCAGACAGGCTTAAAGTTCTGCAAACAAACTGATATCTCAGAGTAGCTGCAGACAAGACGCACCAACTGCACGAAGCCCTGGGTAGATCTAAGGGTCAAAGACTGAAAATATAAAGGTCTTGGATGGCTCAAGCTGAAGACACGTGGGAAAGTGTCCAAGCAAGAATCACACTTATGTAAGGTTCTTTTCACTTTAGGCCTCGAGTACAGGGACTGGCTAGCTGGTGCTGAATAATCAGAAGTTCAGCAAATGATTCATGACAATTCTCTCCCAAGTGATCTCTACAGATGGCTTTGTGTTGAGAAGCAGATGAAGTTCATGGAGATTCACAACAAAAGCTTAGTACAACAAAAACTTGCATATGATGTCACAATGTTTGGTTTAAGAATGGAAGTGGACCCAGTCCCTGCTGCCTTCCCCCGGCTTGAGAATCAGCTATAAACATATGCCGTGATTGTGACTGACTCACAGAGTAGGTTGAGAAAAGTAAAGACAGGCATGCTTCGTGCAGAGTGGCAAGCATGTCTTCAGAGGTCCCGGTAGTTAGTATTCTGCGTCCCGGTAGTTAGTATTCTGTGGTTATTTTCTCTAGGTGATGCCGGTGTGTTGAGAAACGAGCAGGCTGATAGACTGGCCGGTTCTGCAACCACTTTGTGGTGAACTGATGTTTGACAAGCAAGATGCTGTCAGGACTCTTTGGTGGCGAGTGAAAAGTGTGGAGACGTAAACAGATCTTTATGGTTTCAGCAGAATGGCGTTGCGAGGAGTTAATAGGGGATCAGGCCGACACTCAACACTTAAGGGAAACGTGAGACGGATATACAGTCAGACAGTTACAGGTACCATAGCAATTGGAACTTTTCGTTTGCTGCTCAAGATGAGGATATGCTTTGATAGAAGTGTCCTGAGTTATGTGATGTCGATACCTAATTCAACATGCAACATTCCCATACATTACCTATAGTAGCAGTATATTACTCACATAAGAAAGTTCATCAAGATTGCCAAACAGATCTTGTGGCTCAGCGTACATAAGGCTGCCTTCTACCTGCACTTTCTTCAGGGGCTCCAGGAAACACTGTCAGATAGAAAGTTGTCTGTAAGTTCTTCTCCAAGTTGACCACCAGGAGGGCCATGATAATGACTAATGGTGACGAGGATGATGAGGAGGACTATAACCATACTGTTGGCGAAGAGAAAAACTAGGCTGAGATAAAGCACAATAAAGATGGGGATAACAATAATGCTGATTACGACAATAATGAGGGCACCGAGGATGTCCGTGATGATTTTGACGATATACGATGATGCTGTTGATAAAGACAAAATGGTGATAGCAAAGACGATTAAAAATGATGACGAAGATAATGCTAATCTGTAGAAGAGGTTCGCACACAAACCTCAGGAACTCGAGTAATGTATCATGCACATGCAAAAACGCGGGAACCTTCGGTTTGAGGCTCCCGGAGATCTGTTACGATTCACTATACTTGATTCGTTCTACAGGACTAACGCCGATATTGGCTCTTACTAGTAAAGGGCCCTATTTTTATAAACCAGTCGTCTGTGGGTGGTGTTGTCAATATCCCGTCAGCCGTCTTTACTTTCCCGGACATTACCTGAGGCTAGATAGACCTGGGAGCCAAACTCTATTATAGAAAACACTCCGCCTCAATGCGAATTGAAACCCAGGCCCACGGTGCCGACAGGCGAGCGTTTAGCCGCCACAGTACCGTTCTGCTGTCCCATACAATAGGTGTTGAATATTTCCAGACCCACAGTCACGTCTAGCAACAGCAAGGAGACTGACTACTTTCGCTTCGTTATGAATATCATCATCATCATCATCATCATCATCATCATCATCATCATCATCATCATCATCATCATCATCATGTAGCAGGTCCTTTGCAGGTCCGTCGCTCTCATCACGGTCGGCCTGAAGGTAAATCTGGTCTCTGGCCAGCTCTTTCGCCTCGTGCACTTTCATATTGAAGGAGTCACTTATATCCTGTGCTCATCTTCATCTTAGAATATGGGAAAACCTAGCACTGATGGAAACGACGGTGCTGAAATCCATTGCTCGAATTAGGGAATACTTTTCCTAACGCGGGCAGATCTTGATAATCACACTCAGCATCGTCATTGCACACGGTTATAAACCATAAGTGTTCTACCACCAGTACGAACAGCTTATAAGAAACTGTCCAATTAAATTGTAATTTAAGTACTTTACCTTTACAATTAGGCTACTGACAATATTGGTCTTTCTTGTAAACTACTAAAGAAACAAGCTACTGACAATGTAGATATTTCTTGCACACAGGTGAGTGAGCCAACGGCAATGTTGATTTTTCTAGTAGACATATGAAACCGACTTACATGTTTAAGCACCATGAGATGATCGATGAGAAACACACATTCAGACTTAAACAGCTCCCAGACGGCCTCTCTTCTCTTCCTTTCTGTGTCCGAGATGCTGGCTGTCTGGTTGCACTGCTTGTCCGAGCTAGCAATCAAGTCTGACCAATGTAGGGACTGCAGAAACAATTTTCATTCTCATAGCAATCAAGTCTGATCATTGTGTAGACATTTTCCTAATAATTGTCATGATTTTAGCAACTAAATAAGAGACTGCAGAAAACAAAAATACTGTTTATAGCCATCAAGTCTGACCAGCCTAGCAGCTCTAGAGATAGAGATAATTATCGTGTTGGTTAATTCTGACCAATGTATGAGGCTGCACAGATAATTATGATGTTTATAGTAAACAAATCTAACCAATATTGGACTGAAAAAAGCATTACCATGTCTACACCTGTCAGATCTGATCAGTGTAAAGGGTTTATAGAAATAATTATATTTAAAGAAGTTAATTTTTTTTTAAATATAAATTTATGGACCATAGTTAAAGCAGCACGTTAAGACTGTCTTGGATTAAGGATTGTTCTCGGAGCCATGAAAACCACCCCCATCAGAGAGATAGAGAGGATAGCAGATACTGAACCACTCGAACTTAGAAGACAATACAAAACTCTTTTACAGTATAAGAAATTAAAAAGACTTGAAAGTCATCGACTGCATTTTAAATTTCAAGAGAGAACTGAAAACAGAATGAAGCGTCAGAGCCTCAACCACCTTGCTAGAGAACTGTACAGACAGCACCAAGATCTCCTTGAAAAATATGCTGCACTGTGCGAAAAACTTAGGTCAGAACCATGGACAAGCAAGCCAGAGAAGGCAAATTTAGTCCTACAGGTACCAGGGATCACTTCAAAAGATGCCCAGACGGAGACACAACAGAGAACCCTGGCTCCTGCTATGCTTGATGAGAGGTATCCCAACACCACTTGGACCCAGGTTTTCACCGACGGCTCTGCTACAGATGCAGTCAGAAAGGGGTGCTGTGGAATATACATTAAACCTCCTAGCAGTAGAGCAGAAACTTTCTCTCTACCAACAGGTGACATCTGCACTAACTTTAGAGTGAGGCAACTGCCCTCCTCTCTACAGTCCAACATCTCATCACTCAAGAACACAGAGGGCACACAATTGTTATACTTAGTAACTCACAGAAGTAATCAGGTGTTTGGTACATTGTGAATAATTTGTTTTGCTCCATGACATTGCAGCCATAATTTTTAGTGTTTTTAATTAGGGTCAAATTCTATTTATGACGCAATTGGTGTGGCCGGTTGAACAATTTTTTTCTTATTTTTCTAATGACCAATGAAATTGTAACCACAAGTTGATGATGCAGTTCTGCCTACGATTTCATCACATCTCTGTGTACAACCATTTTATCTCTGCATTTTTTAATTGCCATTGTTAGCTAGTCTTTGTATTTATTATTTTCTATCATAGTCAGAAATGCATAGGGCGTGTGTGAACAGCGCTGATAACTTCGGTTATGTTTGTGGTGAGATGACATTCATCATCATCATGTAGCAGGTTTTTTGCATAACGTCGCTCTCATCACGGTCTGCCTGAAAAAACAACTCGGTCTTTCGCCAGCTCTCCCGTCTCATGCACTTTCAAACTCAAGGAGTCACTTTTATACTGTGCCCATCTTCATGTCGGTCGGTACCCGCCATAGCTTCCATTCCTGGCTTTGTACCAGCAGCCCTGTGCTATCACAGAGGTAATCAGGTTTTCCAGTTCGTGAATATTTGCGCTGCTCCATGACCATGACCAAATTTTTAGTGTTTTTAATTACGGGCAGGATGCTATTTATTAGCCAATCTGTGGCCTTGATAATTTTTTCTCTTTTTTTCAAGACCATTGTCAGTATTTCTCCTCCTTTTCTCGTCCAAGATATTCTGAGAATCTTTCTATAGCATTTAAAAGCTCCTTATTATCTTTGTTATCATAGGAAATGCATAGGAAAATGTGAAACAGCAAGAGGTCGGTTAGGGGTGAGGTGACAATTCATCAATAATGGCATTGAAGGAGCTCACGGACAACTTGAGCCAGCTTCATAACATCACGGCATACTGAAGGAGTCATTTATATACTGCGCCCATCTTCATGTCGGTCGGTACCCGCCGATTCCTTCCTGATACCACGCCCTCTGCGACGCCTAGCGGCACAAGCGTTGACTTGATAAGACCAAAACTGGGAGATTTCAGCTCATACGGGCAGGATTCAACTGTTTGCATTAGCCCATCTTCCTTGATATTCCCTAAAAATCAGTAAGATGGAAGAGTTGGAGGCTTCTCCTCCTTTTTCGTCCAAGATCCTCTGAGCTGTTTTGAGAGAGAGTGTAAGAAGGATCAGTCAGATTCCAGTTGATCACGAGAGATGAACGAAACGAACGAAAACATTAGCGAAGCGAACAAAGTGAACGAACTTTATTTCGCAAAAGGTCACTTTGCAGCGATTTAAAAGTGGTAGCTCTTCAATTGGACTACAGGGTTGATATACACAGTACTGCTGTTTTCTCTGTGGAAATTACTTCAGAAGACGTTGGCCAATAGGCTGTCTTAGAAGTCTGGCAGTAAAAACATCGAAAACCCAGCACTTGTGAACACCAATAAGATTTGTTATTGCCACCCTAGAGCTGGGTCTTATGACAAACTTTGTCAAGGTCATATAGAAAACAGATGATACTTTAAATATCTCATCAGAAAATTTCCAAGACCTAGTGAAGCTAAAATAAGAGAGAGAGAGAGAGAGAGAGAGAGAGAGAGAGAGAGAGAGAGAGAGAGAGAGAGAGAGAGAGAGAAAGGGTGAGGAGAGAGAGAGAGAGAGAGAGAGAGAGAGAGAGAGAGAGAGGGGGGGGGAGAGAGTATTTGTTGGTCCGCAAAATCGAAAATCTCTTCACGAAGAGAAGTTTCTTTGTGTGTTGCTTGGAAAAAAAAAGCAGTATATCCAGTCAGTGGTGGACAATTTATTTGGAATCAACAGATCAGATAGTTCAAATGATATTGTTGAAAATTCATTTTCATTATTCTCGTCTGGACGTCTTTACGTCAAACTGTAGAGCTGTCAGTGATAAGCTTGATGAATGATTTCATCGGGACGTGGCTGCTATGGAGACAAGGTATCAAGGCAACTGCAACCCTTTAATGCTTGCTGACTACCTCTGGACTGTGACGAGAGACATCTCATCGATTGACTACGAGAAGCAAACAAAGAGAGCTCGAACAACGCCTGAATGATGACGGAAAAGGTTCAAATATTTCTTTTAAAAACATTATATGTGAACTGTTATTATTTTTTACTTATTGTTTCTATCATTTTATGTCGAAATATCTATTGACTGAGTGTGCAACAAATATTTTTTTGAAGCCTAAATAGAAAGACTAACTTTTTATTCCAGGGGTTTAAAAAAGTATACATTATTTGTTTTACTGCAATGTAAATTCGTCATTAAAAAAGAAATAGAGCCACTTGGTAGATTTCATTATATTTGAAATCAGCATGTCAAAATCAATCAAAAAAAAAAGGTATTTAAATTCCGGTACAAAAAACTCTTGAAAATGTGTAGACCAGTTTAACAGCAGTTTTCTGAGTCAACCAGCCAGTCACTTTGTTCACTGTTGCCTGTAGCTCTTAAGCTGTCTGTTTGTCTCTTCCCTGCCTCTAAGCAAGAATATCGTTTGCAAACAGTATGACTTGAGGCGACCACCAAATTTTCTCTACTTAATTAACTGCAGTTCTATTTTCTTTCCATGTCTGTTCTACTTCTGGTGTCCATCAGGTTCTTGTGTATTTTACTGTTCATTTGTCATTCACTACACTCTACGAACAAATAACCAACAAACGAATCATCGGTTCAGTGAATTCTAGAAGCAGTTAACCCCACGGTTTATAATATTCCAACTGGATTCTCTTTGATGGAGATAATCAAAAACTTGGAATCCCACCAGCCTTTATAAAGAACAGAAAACAAAACAATACGAGCTGGAGCGTTGCTGTTGTGTGAAGATAACGGTAATTATTTCTGACGGTTAATTGTATTGCAAGGCACACATCACATGTGTGTCATCTTCAAGCACGCCACGCCGGTTACGATACCCTGACCTCCCATAAGCATAGGATCTTCATGCTAATCTAGGCAGAGGCCAGAATGACACAGTTGATTCCTGAGAGTGGCCGTGTAGACAGGGCGTGTAGTACTGCTTTGTCCAGAGCCCATCATACTGTTGAGACGGTACTGCATCACATTGTTAAAATTATTTCACATGTCTCATAAAAGATAATGTCACAGGGCTTGTGATGTTTTCACCATTAATGTGACTATGTTGTAGTAATCCGCTATGCTGTGTTTTTGATAGACCGCTTAATATTTCAGAGGTTTGTGAGCACATTTCTCAATCATCGACATACCAGAGTTGTCAGAGATCAAAGCCACACCGTGTTCCGTTAATCACCTGCAACGGACTTCAAATGCCTATATTTTGGAATTGTGAAACTGCTCTGATGTACTGAGGTAAAGACAAGAAAAATGAAAGGCAGCAAACAGCAACTGGGGCAATGCTGCAGTTTGAAACAACAGACAATGGAAATACAAAACGTAAACATAAAATTGTACCTTGTAAGCAGCTAAGTGGTTATCTTTGAATTCCGATGGTTTCAACCGTTTTAAGATGTCTCCAATTTTCGTCAAAGACTCTTTGCTTCTAGTCTTCATCTGAAATAGCATGGACACACTGGAGCTGTGACCCAGGCTCTAATAATGATAGTGGTGATAAAATTTACTTGCTTTATTGCACAGATCAGCTCTGGTAACCACATAAGGCATTTAGAAACACATGCCTCTGCTTGGGGGAGAAATAGATACCACAATTTGCGAAAACTGTGGGAGGGGGGGGGGGGACGAAAGGGTGGTAAGTTCTGACACATTTAGACACAGATCCTACAGTCCAGATCAGTTGCTATCTGATTTTCAGTTATTGGAATCAATTTAAAAAAAAAAAAGCTGTTTAATAACTGATCATACGTTATGACAGCAGTAAACAAATGATTCCACGAGAAACAATGTATGCTATCTCTGTAAACACTGGGGTGAATGTAATGCCCACGACAACTCTTTCTGTCAACCTCTAGCAGACATAATACTACATCACCCAACAAGTAACAAATGTATCACCAGTGTTTCCCAAACTGTTCTTGGTCGCGGCGCCTGTTTTCAATGAAAATTTGTCCACGGCGCCCTAACCTAAAAAAAGTATGACTATTCGTGTCTTGGTTAAATTAATTATGAAGCTTTTACAATATTTCGCGGCGCCCCTGTGAAGAGGTCACAGCTCCCCTAGGTGCCGCGGCGCACATTTTGGGAATCACTGGTCTATACAATTATGGTTACCATCAGTAAACGTCCATTAATTTAGAAAGACTGACAATGGTCTCCCTACTTCTGTCTTGGCACATTCAGCTCCTTTCAGTGTGAAAAGACGAAGTTTACTTACTCTTATCACCGCATAGTCAGTTAACTCTTTCAGTCCCAACGAATGCATCATGTGTTCATAGGTTCCTACTTAGAGGCCCAATAAACAAAAGATGCACCGACTTAACATCTCTTTTGACTACACCTTGGGCTCTAATGCTAAACCACTGGGACTGAAAGAGTTAACTATGCATGAAAATGACCTCTGCTTTAAATTTACCTACCAATTTAGTATTCTTCCGTACACATGCAGTAAAACATGGTCTGCATCTGTATGTCTATTCAGCATTGTTCTTAGGGTGCATGCGCCGTGCGATGTCGCCACCCATGCAATACTGCATTGAAAAATAAAGTACTCATCTCTATCAAACTGTCAAAAGGTCGCAACTGCGCCCCGGTGAGATCTCGTACCCCAGGCAGTTGTCTGGTTGGGCTAATACTTGGACCATAGAGGTATTCTGACGACTGAGATTGAGATAACAGAATAAAAAGAGATAGAGTGATAGAGAGAGAGAGAGAGAGAGAGAGAGAGAGAGAGAGAGAGAGAGAGAGAGAGATATAGATAGATAGATAGATAGATAGATAGATAGATAGATAGATAGATAGATAGATAGATAGATAGAGAGAGAGAGAGAGAGAGAGAGAGAGAGAAAGCGCACTCACTGACTCACCGAGACAGAGAAAGAGTGTGTAGAGAGAGAGAGAGAGAGAGAGAGAGAGAGAGAGAGAGAGAGAGAGAGAGATAGAAGAGAGAGAGAGAGAGAGGGGGGGGGGAGAATAGCAGGAAATGAGAAAAATTAGAATAATTAAAATCACTGTGGGAAAAGAATGAGAAAGAGCGAAACGATAGGCTAAAAACAGAAATATGTGGTGGTGAGAGAAAGCGCGCGCGTGCGTGTGTGTGCGCGCGCGCTCGCTCGCATACATAAACACTTATGTATGTATGTATTATGTATAAATGCATGTATAGATGCATGTGTGTACAGCATGTTGAAAGACTCTGTGGCGTAGCGGCTAGTCGCTCGCCTGCCGATCGGAAGGTCATGCGTTCGGGACCTGACGGAGCAGGACTTTAAAAAAAAATGACATTGGCTCCCAGGTCGAAACTGCCTTGAGTGGGTACCCGGTTAAGTCCTAGGAAGTAAAGGCGACCGGTGTGATGCTGACCTCATCATCATCCACAAAGTGCCAACCAGTATAGGAAATAAAGGTCTAGCCATATATACCCAATACGCCAAAGGTGTGGATAAGTTTTTACTTATATATATGTATATGACGGTAATAAAGAAACCTAAAACAAACCTACCAGTTTAAGCAGAGAAAACGACTGTCTTCCTTTCTTTGTGACGTCTATTCCCTCAGCTGTTGACCCGACACCTGGCGGTGACGGAAAGCCATTTGGTTGCTTAGCAGCGGCGTAGAAATCTGCAATTGTGTTTCTTTTGATGAGCTTCTTGTGGTGCTCTTGAACTAGCAAGTCTCCAGGGTAGATGTTCATAGCTAAGTCCACAGAACTGCGCCTCCTACGTAATCTCTCAGCGATGTTACTGCACATGTAACCAATAACACGTCTTTAATCAGGTCAACTGTATTTCATCTTCATTAATAGGAAGAGAGATTTGTATTTATGCTGCAATGATTTCATTGAAGAATTGAAAAGGTAAAACATGACGACGTTATGCGAATGATGAAACGTAAAGCTTTCGTGACACATAAGTAAATAACATATACTATATGACCAAGTAGCTCAACCGATGGAAAGGTAAGAGAGCACCCAAATGCACGCGTTTCCATCCATCTTTATAAACGACCAAAACATCGTGAATCATAAAGGAACACATGATATCGAAGGTCAGTACAAAGGAAATGAGTAAATTCTGGAAGAACAGGAAGTATGCTAAAACTAGGATGCATCGTGACCATAGGAAAGTTAGAAGAGAAGGGTGATGAGGAAGACTAAGCGAGGATATCGGACAGGTAGGCTAGATGGCTTGAACAAGTGTCTGTAACAGAAATTATTGACCGTTGACGAGACAGGTTGTCATACACACGATGACCAGTGTTACAACAACATGATCAAGAGGATAAATTACTCAGGGGGGAAAAATAGCATGAAGGATATAGAAAGCCAGTTATCGTAAGAATGTTTCCCTCAGCAAACGTGTTAGACAAAGAACGGTCCGACTAAATACCGTCTAAAATACAGGTAAATGGTGTTCCTAACAAGTTACTGACATTTTAGAAAAATGTTAGCAGTTTAATGTTTGTTTAAGTCTATATATAAATACAGTGGGACAACCAGCTCCATTTCTCGTCATATTTTCTATCCATACAATATAAATTTTTTGAAAATGTCTTCTATCTGCTTCTACCAAAGCATCCGTATATTTAAAATATTGAATTCCTTCAGATTAGTTCTGTTTACTTAATTTCACATATAGAAACCACATTTTCCTTGTGATTTCTAAAACTGTAAAAATAAAAAGTATTCTCATATATATATATATATATATATATATATATATATATATATATATATATATATATATATATATATATATATGCAAAATTATTTAAAATGTGCAGCCTTATAATGACTTCTTCATGTTTCATATTATCAGATATGCGAGTATAAGCAATTACACACAGTAAAATAGCAGCTGAAAATACGTGAATATATCGAAAAACATGTCCGAAATCACATAAACTGATAGAAATAAATCGTTATGCTATAATAAGACAATACAAATAAATAGGCTCTAATTTACGAAAAAAATAAATTAATTAAAACTAGAAGAATTAGGTAAAAAAAATCAACAACACAACATTCCGCCGCCATATTCAGCAACAGAGCAGAAAGAGGCCCGGTAGTGATAGTGATGGTTGTAGTCCGATCCTATGTTAGCCTTGCCTTTCCTCTGAGTGCTGACCGTGCGCCAGATTCCAGCTTCCATTTTTTTTATAGCTCCAATAAAGCCTGTTGATTTTCTTATTATGAAGCGTGTAGCAATTTCTCTCTTTTTGTGTTAACTTTTGTTAAAACATCTGCATTACAATTTTCATCTGGTTTTTTTATCATTTTTCTATAAAATCACATCTCTGCGACCTGCAGGTAGTATTCACTTTCAACTTGCTCCATTTAACTATTGCGAATTTCCCCCGAATTTCTCCGGCTCTCTCAGATCTTTGCCACCAGTGTTTAAGTTTTAACAATATTTAAATCCCTCTCTATGTGTCGAGTCCTCAAATTAAAAAAGGTCTACAAGAGACACAGACCACCTAAAAAACAACAACAAATAACTTATGGAAGACAACATCTAAAACGAACAGTTTAATAATGTTAAATAATATAAAACTGGAAGTGTAAGACACATGGAAAAGCACACAATTGAATGACAGCAGAATAAGAAGGGTGTGTGTGTGGGGGAGGGGGGGGGGGGGGGGGGTTGTTAAGCAGCAGGCAATGAAGATGTGAGCCCAATAAAAACACGGCAGCAGACTGTATGTGGCTGAAATAGGAAGAAACATTAATCGTATATAGTAAAGTCAGTTAAGGACCCTTTTCCACGCCTCCAGACGTATTGGGTATACATGGCTAGACCTATATTTATTAGACCAATCGGCACCGTAAGTGACGCGATCAATATCACACCGGTCGCATTTACTTTCCAGGACTCTACCTGGTACCCATTCAAGCCTGGGTCGACCTGGGAGCCAAGGTTATTTTTATTAAAAAAAGACCGACTCCGTCAGAAACCCTGTACCCTTGACCTTCCGACCCTCAGGTGAGCGTCTAGCCGTTACAAAATGGCGGCCCCAAGAAACACAACGAGGCCTACCTATCCAGGAATACAAAGAAATGGAAGATATCGTACAGACATCAAGACATCTCAGGTAAACTCTCAAAATATTTCCACTAACATCAAGATAGGATAGCAAATCATTACTAGAATCATGCCTCCTGATGTTGATTGCATCACCCTCGGACTGCCGACCGGTGTATATATATGGATCTGGCACTCTATGACGGATGTACCCCTGACGTGAAACGAATCCTTTCAGAAATGAACTACCTATGATTTCATACAACTCGGGCGGTCTCCATGGCGAAGACATTCACTCATTTACATAGCACTCTAGGTCTTGGGTCAAATTACACACTCCGTTATTTGGTTAACAGTGCAGATGTTTCGGAGATCCTGAAGTGAAAAAGAGGAAAGACGGGGAAGATGAGGGAGGGAGGGGGGATTTGTCGTAGAAGATACTACATACAGAGAACACGCTATGTGTGATAAAAGCCGGTGCAGTGAAGATAATCTTGTTTTCCTTTGATTGGTTTAGCACACAGGAACTCACAGATCCGCTTTTGTAATTCTAGACATGATAAACTCATCATACCCATGTATTAACTTACTCACGAAATCGAATTTGTTGCTGTAGTTTATGTGCAGTTCGGTTCTTATTTATCTCATTCCTCGTGTGGGTTGTCAGGCCCCGTTTTGAGTGGAGGAGGGTGGGGTGTAGAACTAATGAACCTGAACAAGTTTATCGTAAAAGGCAACTTATTAATGATTTGCTGACATTTTGGGATCCAAGTTTATCGCAGCCTTGCTATAAAGGACAATACAACGTGTCAACCGCCTTCTAAGGGCCAACGCAGAGCAGGAAGACGAATATATTTTCTTTCGACTCAACTGATTTCAGCAAACAAATGAACTGATAAACTGAGTTGAACTAACAATTGGTTGGGGCTGAAAGCGTTAATGGCTCCAGAAAGAAGAAGACGAGAAGTACAATGTCAGTTTCTAAGATGACCAGACATCACAGAGACATGTCAGTGACACACACTTACCTGGCTCACAGAGACATGTCAGTGACACACACTTACCTGGCTCACAGAGACATGTCAGTGACACACACTTACCTGGCTCACAGAGACATGTCAGTGACACACACTTACCTGGCTCACAGAGACATGTCAGTGACACACACTTACCTGGCTCACAGAGACATGTCAGTGACACACACTTACCTGGCTCACAGAGACATGTCAGTGACACACACTTACCTGGCTCACAGAGACATGTCAGTGACACACACTTACCTGGCTCACAGAGACATGTCAGTGACACACACTTACCTGGCTCACAGAGACATGTCATGTGACACACACTTACCTGGCTCACAGAGACATGTCAGTGACACACACTTACCTGGCTCACAGAGACATGTCAGTGACACACACTTACCTGGCTCACAGAGACATGTCAGTGACACACACTTACCTGGCTCACAGAGACATGTCAGTGACACACACTTACCTGGCTCACAGAGACATGTCAGTGACACACACTTACCTGGCTCACAGAGACATGTCAGTGACACACACTTACCTGGCTCACAGAGACATGTCAGTGACACACACTTACCTGGCTCCTTCCCCTTCATCACAGGAGTTGCTCGGCGAGGCTTCTGGTGACAGGGTGGTCGGAGACACGTCGCCACAGTTCTGTCAGATCATTCAAGATATGTGTGTTGTCAAACTTTGATAATGTCAACTTGCATGTTACAAGACACTTATCAACATAAAAAATAAAAAAAATCAATTAAAAAAAACAAATTAAAAAATAAAAAATAAAAAAAAAGATGCCTGTGGCACATAGGCGCCATCTTCTGTTTAACAAGCAAATTGTAATTAGATGAGTAAATGGTCAACGTTAGGCCGACCACCCTTACACCTTATTACCTTTGGGATAATCTTTTTAGGCTGGGTCGATTTGGGAGCCAAGGTCAATTACAACATCCCCTGGATTCGAACATAAGACTGTAAGGTCGATAAGGAAGCGTTTATCCTCTGCGCTACGGTGAATCTCCAGCAACACATTATATACAAGAACTTCATCCCGCTTTGACCAGTCACTGTCTGATCCACCATCCAGTGTTCAGAACTACAGGGGCAAGTAAGTAGTGAAGATAAGTGTGACGTGTATTTTCTTGCTAAGTAATTGGCCATTTGCATGCCTTTGCCGCATCAGACATACGGTGCTAAACCTATAATTTTTCATAGACCAGTCTGCACTCAAAGGGTAATGTGGTCACCATTACACCAGCTGCCTTTACTTTCCATAGTTTTAAGTGGTACCCATTTGAGAAGTCAGCGTGTGGTGTCGCGTCTAGACGAGACGCTAGCCTGCGGATTCGAAGGACGTGCAGACTTTTTCGAAAATGACGACTCCCAGGTCTACCCAATCCCAAATGTGTTTTCAGGTAAGCCCAGGGGAAGAAAGGCGGTCGGCGTGATGTTGACCACATCACCCACAGAGTGTCAAGTAGTCTATAAAACATAGGTATAGCCCTATGTGCCCATTAGGTCCCAATGCGTGGAAAAGGGTCCTTTACTTGCTTTACCCATTTGAAGATGGGCCGATCTGGCAGCCAAGCGCAATTTATAACAAAAGAAAGGGGAAAAAAACTCCATGTGAATTTGACCCATAGACTTTTGAACCCACATGTCTAGCCACTACGCTCCCGAGGTTTTGCCGCATAATCGTGGAATCAACATAACTAATGTTGTTTTGTGTGTGTGATTTAGATGCCTTAGAACGGTACACATGGGGTAAAAGTTAGATGCCTTAAAACTTGGAAAGATATACAAGAGGCCAAAGATGCAGTAGTTAGATGCCTTAGAACGATGTATAGACCGCCATAGGGTAATAGTTAGATGTCTTAGAACAATTGAATAACTCGTCATTGCGTAATAGTTAGATGCCTTAGAACATTAATTAGGCCGCCATGGGGTAATAGTTAGATGCTTAAAATAACGAATAAGCCGTCATTGCGTAATAGTTAGATACCTTAGATTTAGAACGTTATATATGCCGCCATGGGGTAATAGCTAGTAACCTGCATGTCACGATATTTGTCCGGATTCAATTTATAGCGCACGCACCGCACGCACGCGCACACACACACACACACACACACACACACACACAGCTATTGTTTTCGACCAGCAGGCTTCAGGAGGTCAACACAGCCTCATAGCCATGGCCACCATACATATGTGGACATTTTCTGAAGCTAGCTGGACGAGAACGGGCCACCTCACCTCATGTGTCACCCCTGGAATCTGTCAATGTTTAAAATTTCACACCAGCAGTGGCAGTGTCTGTTATGTGGTGTGATTAAATCGTCTTTACAATGAAACTGTGTTTGTAATCAGCTGAAATGTGATAAAAGATCATTTCTTGTTTATGTTCTAGTTTTGGAGTAAAAAAAACACACAACACACAACACACACACACATATATATATATATATATATATATATATATATATATATATATATATATACCATATATATATTTATAGTATAAGCTTTTATTTCAACAACATGAAAGATTAATATACTGAAAAAAAATTTATTTATATATAATTTTAATGGACACACGAGTAAATAACCGCCTTTACATAATCCTCTAAAAGTTTATAATAAGTATAAAAGTAAAGTAAAG